CATCGGAAATGCACTGGGAGAGGCTGGCTTCACCGCAGAGTTTGCAGGCGGCTTCCCTCCGCAGGCCAGCAAGGACTGCAGGAGGCGGTCACAGAGGGAGCTCATTAGCACCCAGGGGACAATGGAGTCTGAGATACTAGAGGCCCGAGGCAACACAGCCAGGGTCCCTCTGGATTCCAGGGACGGCCACCGCCAGCATTCTTTGACTGCCCGTGTCCAGGGGCCAGCGGATCAGAGGAGGAGTCGTCATGGGAAGCGGAGCGGGCGATAACCCAGGCCAGAGCAGGGGCAGGGAGGGAGACGTGTGGAGCCCAAAGGGAGCTCCGGGCACTCCCTTACCCCACTGTGAACGGACATATGTGTCAGCCCTGTCCTGAGAAGCGTAGGGCAGCAGGGGGCTCAGAACCTTGCAGCGAAGGTCTGGCCACCCCGCCAGCTGAGCTGCCGGACCTGCCGTGGTGCTACCTGAGGTGAGGGCTGGTTGGGGCCCACGTCCCACGATAATCATGAAGGTGGCAGCCTGTCTCATTCACTTCTCCTCTCTAAGGTCCTCCAACCAGCAGCTCTGGCTTGAGGATGCGCCGCCGGCCTGGCCAAAGCTTTCTCGGAGCCCGGCTGCAGGCTGAGCCCTGCCCACCAGCCCGCCTTCCCCCACCCCTCTCTTTCACTGGGGGAGGCCGGCCGCCTGCAGCCTGCGGCTGCCAGGAGTGCGCCCTTCATCCCCAACGTGTCTCCTGCACCTCAATCCCATCTGGAGGCTACTTGTTGGTATGCCTGAATGGACCCAGTAGGACCTCTGTGGTGAGAACAAAACAACAGAAAGACAATGCCAGTGTGACCCTAAGCTTTGTCCCTGGGTCTGCCCTGCCTGTCTGGAGAACATCCTCAGAAAGAGAAGTGCTGAGCAGGCCAGGCCCTCAGAGGCAGCCAGCACGCTGGGGAGCCCTCGGGTCCAGAAAGGACCTTGAGGTCAGGAGTTGGAGGAAGAACCCAGGTGGGCTGGCAGGGGTCCAGAGCCTCGCTGCTGCCCTGGCTGCAGCCAGAGAGGCCAGTGACCTTAGCTAGGAGGTGTCCACAGGCTGGGGAGAGAACAGGGCATGAGGGCCAGTCTGCCCTGTCCTCCGCAAGTGATGCTTGTCCTTCGGGGCGGGTTATGAAGGCGGGTGGGCACTTCGGCCGAGGAAAATAAACCCCCCAGGAACTTGTTCTCAGATACTTCTAGGTGCTGGCTATTAGCTGTGATGATATGGTCATCTAGCTAAGATTGAAATTCTTAGCTAGACAGAAAAACCAAAATCTTTAGTTTCATTGGTTTAGCAAACTAACATATCCCAGGAGCAAGGTGGAGGTGGGGGTGCAGGCTGTGGGTATCCCAGGGTCCCTGGACCAGGGCCAGGCTCAGGAGGTGCAGAGGGCAGCCCAGAGCTGGAGGCTGGTCTGCCAGGGCCCACTGCCCAGGCCCCTCAGGCAGCTACAAGGAAGGGCAGGCACCATGCCCAGACTCTGCCACACTTTCCAGCGTACACAGCCTCAACCCGGAGGGGCACTGCTACCTTCAAGTCTCTAATGGGTGGGCTGCACCACAGGGTGGACGGGGACCTGCCACAGAGAGTGACTGGCCACACTCAGATTCACAATGACACGCCGAGAACTCGTGCCACCAGACCAGGCTGTCTGTCCACCCGGAGGTCTGCAGGGACTAGAAATCCCAGGGTTCCCAGACCAAGAGCTCCGAGGGCGGGCCAGCTCAGAGGAGGCTCAAATCAGAACTCCCTCGAGCTGTAAGCTGCGGGGACAAAGGCAGCAGGCCTGACGGTGGCTGGGCTCCGGCACCTGCCAGAGCCAGGGTACAGTTCAGGCCCTGCTCTTGACCACAGCATGGCCTTGGGCAGGTGAACCTCTCTGACTCTCAGTCTTCATTTGTTTTCATTTGGTAATTTGTAAAACTGGGACCATAACCTCTATCCCGAGTGGTTCCAGAACTGGAAGTAAGCCGGTGAGCCCGTGGCCCAGCATGGTGAGTTGCAGACAGTCAGGAGGTGGGAGCTCCGACCGCTCCTACGTGCCCTGGACCAGACACTCGCAAGGTCGTGAGCAAAGTGCAGCCTGGCCCTCAAACCCGGCTCCTGCAAGTTTGTCTGGCACGTTTAATGCTTCTCTGTCAGGCAAACAATGGCAGGCAGTTGATGTAAATAACTATAATTACTACAGCTTCTTTCCTCTACATGTTAGTTCTTTAGAATCAATCCATAAACCATCCCAGGAGACAGTTTTCCCTGATATCACGAGTAACATAATCCTCATCACAACCCTACAACAAACAAAAAGACAAAGGCTGGGAAGAGATGCGGCTTCCCAATAGCTAGGCTCTTGCTCTGAAAGGATGAAATTGGGTCCCCTCCTTTATCAGGCATTATTTGCCAGGTCCTGGGCTAGTCGTTAGGGGCATGAAAATGAACAAAACAAGCAGTGGTTTCAATAATTAATTATTACAAATTAATACTGAGATATCAAGCTAATTTCTTTCATACGTAGAACCTCATCTCTCTGCTGCTGCCACATTCACGTTATTTGGTCCCTTAGGTCCTGGGGCGAATGTCTGTACTTCCTAAACATCACTATCACACCAATATTGGGACTCCTGGGGAAAGGATCCCAAAAGTGACCAGAGGACACAGGGCGGAGCCTGGGGGAGGAGAGAAAGTCATGGTCAAGCTCCTGCGGCTTTCCATGCTTCCTTTCAATTCCCAAGTGGGGAAAGGAGTTTGTCTTTGGACAGAGCGCATCGCACACAGCCAAGCACTGTCCGCAGCGTGGGCAGCAGCCTCCTCCCGCGTCGGTACTCTGAGTTTAGCTGCACCAAAGGGCGCGGACGCCGTCCTCTGGCACCGGGACAACAGAGCAGGACGCAGTAGGTGCTTTGGGAAGGCGATCAGCACTCACTCGGGGCATATTCTATATGTAGGGCAGTGATGATGTTCTTCATGTCATCACTCAGTCCCCATGACAATCACGCCAGGTAGGTATCACCAGTCCCACTGTTCTTAACAGATGAAGAAACCTGAGGCTCAGAGAGGTTAGGAAACTGTCCACGGATTGAGAATGAACCCCGGCATTGCCTCGAAGACAAACAAGAGAGAACCACAGAGGGGTCACGGAGTCAGTGGATTGCCTCCTTTCCCACCCAGCTCCCCACACTGATGTTTTCTCTTTCAGGTCTTTCAAGGCCAAAGCTTACCAATGTTTACAACCCCTAAGTTCTGCTCTGACATTGCTTACTCTGATACACACATGTACTGCAGCTAGGGGCTGGGCCAAGAGACAGAGCTAGGCTATTTCTTCCTCTCAGCTTCGAACACAGCTGAAGTTGTCGTCACTGGACCACACGGACTTGAAGGAAGGAGGGCCAGTGTCCTTCTCCCACTGAACAAAAACTCTTGCCAACCTTTGTTTCAGGGAGCAAAGAGTCAGGCCAGAAGCGGAGCCTGTAAACAGCCCTGGGCCTAATGGCCTGTGTCTGCTGCCATGCACCGCTGCCAGCACGCAGCAGGCAGCACAGGGTGGCACGGACAGGCAGGGTGGCAGAACGGCATGCCAGGCAGCTTAAGGCGTGTTTCTCTTCTTCCCTAGCGATGCTCACCCTTGGCACCCAGAGACTTGCTCAATTGTCCCTGCCATTCCTGGACTCCAGACAAGTCCCCACTTCTCCAGCCCCACTTCTCTGGCACATGACAAGAAGCTGAGAGGGCAGTTCTGACCCGTGGCCCACGCAGCCCAGACCAGGCAGGCCCGGGGAAGAACGGTGGTGTTCAGGGGGCCCGGCCGGCCTTGCCTAAGTGACTGACTAGGCTGGAGCCGAGGGCGCACAGCAGCTTACGGTGACATCCTCCTAAGGTAACCACCCCGGGTGAGAGGGACGCCGTGGGAGGGCCCTAAGTGGGGTTTGATCATGAAGGCATCCAGTAACCATCTTGATTCCTAACAAAGCAAGAGTTCCTGAGCAAGACGCAAGTTTCTCTTCTGGAAGGTGACATGCAGCCCCATTGGCGTGTGACTATTTGAGTTCTTCCATGGGATAAAATTAAGTATCTTGGATATTTAAACATTTAGACCAGGGCATGTTGTCCTCAAGTCCACACTGGGACTACTCTTGTCACTGACTGGGATTTCCAAGGGGAGCAAGTTGGGACAACAGTTGATAATGTTGCCTCTGCCTCCACGGCTGTGGCCGGCAACTACGAGCCAGTCCCCTAGGGCTCCGCTTCTGCAAATACAGCAACAAAAGAAAACTCAAGTGCTTGCTTCAGCAGCACCTACACTACAAGAAAACTCTTCAGGTTGTCCGGAGGATTATACTGGAGAGCAAGCGCAATGCCCCAGCACTGTGCCTGACACCCAGCAGAGGTCCTCAGTGGCACCTGCTGCAGTTACTTATCATCGCTGTCACGGTCACTGTCCTCAGCAGGGCACGCGCCCTGTGCTCCCTCACCACCACTTTCCCGTCACAGAGACAGGGCACATGGTCCAAAAGCAGTGTGCCGGGTGCCAGCGCCCTAGTACGGCCTCCGGGTTCAGTCTCCAGCAGCACCCGGAAGTCCCCCAACCACAAAATTCACAGGGCGGACGAACACCCACACACGTTAAGCGTGGTCCGACAGAACGGCGGTGCAAGCGAAGGCACACAGAGAGCCAAGCTGGCAGGCACATGGCTGGAGACAGTGTGGAGGCTGGGTTTGGGGGGCGGCTAGAGGCAGGAGGAAGGTCTGCTTTGGGGCAGACATCACGACTGCTCTTATCAAGTACTTCGCGTTCTCTGTTTAGGGCCAAAAGAGGTGTCACAGGAGAAATATTTTTCTGGCACCCATTTCCTGGCTCAGTCACAAAAAGTGTGGTTCACTCCCTGACAGTCCCCTGTAAGATAACCCCAGTGTAAGGAAGCCCACAGGCGCTCCCCCTGCGGGACACGGTGAGGCAACATTCATTCCCGCTGAGTGGCTTACTTGTTGCTGTCGCGGTACTCGTAGATGTGACATCCGTGAGGCAATCCGGTCTCGTGGTCCAGCGTGAAAGTAAGCTTCAGCTGAATAAAGAGACAAGAGGAAAACAAGTAAGTTGTAAGCAGAATGCTCTGTCCATTCAGGTAGCTGAAATGAAGGGAAAAAAAAAAAAAATCACATTCCTTCCAGCTGATGTGTTGTGGAGAACTGGGCCTGCCAGCGCTGGGAAAGGCCCATGCCTTACAGGGACACGCTGTCGTCAGTACGGACTGTTATCGGGACTCTGCCTGCTTCGTTTACCAGGCAGCCCGTTATTTACTAAGCACCGATTTTGTGACCCTGAGCTAGCTGATGGGGAAAGAACAGTGACCAGCAGCAGGAAGGGGCCTCCTTCATCGATCTTACAGTCTGGTACAGCAGATGGACCTCAATCGCATAAACTAATGAATGACTATGCACAATTTCAAGGTAGGACAGGTCCTCTGACACAAGGAAAACCTCCCATGTCCCTCTAGAACCTGGACTAGAAGTGGACCTGGACTAGGAATGAGGAAGAGGGGGCTGCCTGGACCACGGGGAGGCAGGCGGGAAGGGCGGAAGGCGCCCCTCAGCAGAGGGCCGAGGCGGGGGTCGCAGAACCGAAGGAGGGCTGGTAAGCCAGGGCTCGCTACATGTAGGGCAGTGGCGGCAGGGAGGAAGGCCAGGGCAGAAAATGCATGGCCTGTTTGGCTGCGTGGGGGTGGGTGACATGGGCAAAGTTACGTTTTGGCCGGATCCACCTGGCTGCCACACCGAGCCCAGGCTACAGGGGAGAGAGCAGACGTAGGACCCTGCAGGAGGCCATGGAGGTGAGCAGGCGAGTGGGGACGGGGGCTGGGAGGAGGGGGCAGGCAGGTGAGAGGGCCACAAACGATCAACTCGAGATTGATCCTGGAAGTGAACTTTCAGAAGTAGGATTGGCAGGATATACTGATGGATCTGATGTGGGCAATGGGGAGGACAGAAAAGGGGAAATCAAGGATGGTTCGATATTAGATCTGAACAGCCAGGCAGGTGTCTGTCCCACTGCGGGGCGGGAAGGCTGAGCTTGGATGTGGACAGGGAGCCAGAAAGCTGATTTTGGGCCTGTTAACCTGGAGGCGCTCGTTGGCTCTCCCTGATGAGGAGAGATCAGAAACAAGAACTCTGGGGATGGAGTCTCAATTTCTTTCCGGATCCCAGAGGGGGTTGGGGGTGCGCAGCTCAGGGTGGAACTCTGTCTGTGTCACTGGGAAGCCAGGGCTCAGGGAGGCCCGTGTGTCTCGTTAGAGGCTGATCAGCTACGGCAGCTTTAACATTTCCAAGCGCAGAGCCAGTTACCAGATTTACAAATTCACTGGACTTTTAAATCACTAGGGAAATTTTCACTAAAATTAACTGCACATTAGGAGGATACATTATTATAACTTTTTTCCCTAACTGCAAGGCTGTTAACATAGCTAACGACCTGCATCATTGGATGCTGGAAGATTTTTCTCTTCCTTAGAGGGAAATGAGCTTGTAGGAATGGCTTGCCCTTCTACTGACCCAGATGAAAATATAAAAACAGAAAGAAGCCCTTCTTCACCATCACAAAGCCAGAACTTCAAGTTAAAGGAGTGTTTTCCCTACAGAGCACTGCTTGGTTCTTCCCAGCCCTCCTTTGGGAAAATAAAAAATGATTTTTAAAAATCTATTAAATGGAACCTTTTTCTCTTTACCTCCCCCTTTGCAGCTAAGGTCAGCCCTATATTCACCTAGTGTGTTCCAAGGACTGACTGCTTAGAAAATTTTAAATCCTTTGATCCAATGATTCAGGTTATGGATTTATTGCTTACAAATATTATTATAAATGTAAGAGGAAAACTTTTTTTTTTGCGCACAAAACTGTTCACCTCAGTATTATTTGCTGGAAAGGCTCTAAAAGACCAGCAACAGCAGAATGGGTAAATAAACTATACCAGAGTCACATCAGAACAGCATGCAGCCATTGAAGAACAGTAAGTAGCAGTTACACTATTCATAAGTGATTTTTATTAACTTGCAAAAATATCTGGATTAGATAGGAATAAACCCCCCCAGAATGCATATTTGATTATATACAGGAAAACTATGTAATTAACAACAAAGTTTGCATAGAAGAAAGACTGGAAGGAACATCAAAGTGCCAACAGCAATTGTTTGACTTTCTTTGTGTTTTCCAAATTCTTCATGATGAGCCTGATGAGCTATACACTGTAGTCCTTAGTCATGAAGGAATCAGGGGGAACTTAATTCCAGGAGGATTCTCAAGGTCAAGTAACTATGTATATATATATACTGATTCAAAAATAAGCCAAGTGAGCAGAGACGGTAACAGGGAGGGGGAGAGGGACTAGAGACAAAAAGGCACTCCTCGGCCCTGAATGGCGAACTTGCAGTCATTGACTGCCTACCAATGGTGGCTTTCCTTTGTCCTGACCACAGCCATTAGAATGAGGTATTACTGTCTTCTTTTTACAGGTGAGGCACTTGAGGCTGAGAAAGGATAAGTCATTTGTCCAAACCATGATTAGAAATGGCACTTCAACCAAAACCCATATTCTTTCCCCCTCACCGGAATTAGAGGACTTGGTGACAGTCTGGTTATAAAGTCAGTGCGAGGGGGAGGCTTCCTTTGCCCCGGGAAGTGCAGCAGTGCAGCGGGTGTTGTCACTGTCATGGGGAGGAGCAGCAGGTCTGGGAAGAGAGCTTGAGCTTAGTTTGGGAGCGCTGGTTTAAGGTGTCATCTCAGTGGGCATGACCAGCAGCCAGCTGCATGAACAATTCTAAAGTTTACAAGCAAGGCTGTAACCTGCAGGTGCCAATTTGGGAACCTTCGGGTGTTATGTAAATGGCAACTGAAGCCACTGGAGTGGATGAGCTGCAGAGAGCATGCGGAGAGTGAAAGCGGGGGCTTGGCCAGAACCCTAAGCAGCAGCAGCGCGGGAGGGCTGGGCGATGGCCGCCGAGAAGCAGCACCGAAAAGCAGCACCGTGGAGCCTCCCGGCGTGAGGTCACAGGAGCCAAGTGGGGACGTGCCTTAAGGAGGGGCCGTCAGCAGCACTCCATTGTTCTACGAAGTCAAGTGAGAGAGGAACGAACACCCAAAGCAAAGAATCCACCGCACGCAGTTAGCAACACAGGCTCTCAGCAGAGGGCTGGGGGCAGAGATCTGGGTGTGATGGGACTGAACTGGACTGGAAGGTGAGGAAAGGGGGTCGTGAGAGGGCACAGTTCTAGCAAATGAGACAACGATGGAAGGAATGGAAAGGGGCAGGGAAACAGGACGTGGCACTGAGAGGACACCCTAAGATGACCAAGACTTGCTTAAATGCTGACATGAAGGAGGCGCTGCAAAGAGAAGGGCCGAGAAGAGAGGCAGAGGGAGGGAAGTGAGGAGTCAAGGAGCCTGAGGTGACAGGGGCTGCCATCCAGCACCTGCCTCCCTGCGGGCGCGGGCAAGGCTGGGCAGGATGCAGACCCGTCTGGGGGCCTGGCGGATGGTGGTGGTTTGGGATGTTCCAGCCTGATTTTGGTTCTTTTCTCAGAGTGAGGAGGTGAACTTATCTTCAAAGAATGGTGGGGTGGGAGGGAGAGGTGGGAGGTAGAGGAAGGCGGTGCAGGTCTGAAATCGCTTCTTGGAGAACAGGAGACGCAGCTGGGCAGGGAGGAACAGGAGGACCACCGAGGCGCTAGGGGGCCAGTGGAGGCCACAGGGTCTGAGGTTAGCGCAGCGACCATCTGCCCAGTGGGTTTTTCTCTAGCAACCTCGACTCTGGCATGAAGAAAGTTAGGTTAGTCCAAAGCTAAGCATTTGTCAGGAAGGTGTGAGGGAATAAGAAGGTTTTGACGGGGCAAGAGAATAGAGAGATGACATCAGCAACAAATGAACCAGGGGCTCTAAGTCATTAGAGGCAGGAAGTAAAATGGAAAGGGGCTTGCTGGAAGAAAACCCAAGGGCCTGGGCAACAGATGCCTCATACGGAGCCAGTGCCGAGCATGACCTCCATCCTAAGCAATGCTCACGTGTGACTTTATTTAATCTTTCCAACAGCCCTGTGAGGTTGTTTCCTGTTGCCGTGTTATGGACGTGTTTCAGTATTTGGCCCACATCGGCAAGTCTGCAGCAGAACTTAAGTGTGGCCGACACTGCTAACCACTGGTCTACACTAGCTTTACGAGGTGTCCGTGAAGTCAGGGAGAGGAGCTGTGGGAGACACTGGGAGAGGGAGTGAGAGGGACCGGAGGCTGTGGTCAGAGAATACGCCACACCTGACCCTGGGGATGGAACAGTGAACCACAAGATCCGAGGAGAAATCAAGGAATGGAGAGCTGGAGGTGGGTGGGGGCCGGGGATCCTCCACAGGAGGTTTGAAATTCACCCAGGAAGAGGGTGTCCCCAGGTAAACCAATCTATGAAGTGTTTCCCTACTGGTGTGTAGGTGTGTATGGGTTGGTAAGTGTAGGTGTCTACTATGTAGAAGTTTCAACAGATGGATGAATGAGTCCTAATGGCCCGGGTAGCAGGCACAGACACTCACTCAGCAGTCACATCCTCCCTCCCAATGATACCCTGGTTTCTTTCTGCTATTCACCCTTCCAGCCCAGTCCAGGGGCTCCAGGAGGGCAAGGCTGGACCTGACTATCTAAGGTAATGACATACCTTTCAGTAACTGATAGAAACTCCAGCCAACCTGTGCCTGGCATTCCCTGGCCCCAGGGCCTGGGTCAGGAATGGATGTGTGCCCCACCGGAGACCCCTGAGATAGAAGGGGGCTGCTTGCTGGGCGCTCCTGGGCATGGGGACCAGCACGACTGCAGGTGGCTTCTTTCCGGGCTGAGAATGAAGCCACTCACAGAGGCGACTGGCTCAAAAGACCGGCCGACGAGCAAAACCAGTGCCTTGATCAAGCTGTGCCTGGTCTCGGCCGGCCTTCCAGACCGCCACTGTTTTGTAGTGGCACATCATTTCTTGAGGGCAATGACACATAATAATGTCCACCCACTCCCTTGGCTCTTTTCTAATTCACGCTCCACAACCAGC